CTCTGTCAAACGTTTTGATTTTGTTACTTGTCTTTTCTCCTTCAAACATATCAATAAATGTTAGAAGTGCTAGAGTTTGAAAATCCCAAGATCCAAGATGTTCGAGTCAGGATGCTATTCTTAGTTCTTGCAAACGGGGATCAAAGAATTCTTTTACATATACCAAATACCCTTTAACAACAAATGTGGCATGATGATAACGGTCTAATTATAAATTGAATATATACCAAATTTTTTTGTGGTTCTAAAAAGACATTGATAACATTTCCAGAATTAGCAAATAAAAAGGATAGATTAATTCATAGTAAGTGAGTGGGGAATAAATTGTAGAAAGAAGCCCTTCAATTAAGCACTCCATAAATTCTATATTAGTCATTCTTTTCAGCCCACCCCGTCATGAAGTTTTGTTCTAGTTGACAAAATTGCTTGGGAAGTCCTTCTAGTGTTCCTAAAACACCCTTCAAAATATTTTATTGTTTGGACCATACAGAGAAATTTAAGTATAAAAAAATGTATTAATTGAAAATCACGTGAAGAGATGCTATATCTATTTTTTGGTCTTAATATTTGACCTTATACTTCTAATATCAGTTTATATAAGCATAAGGAACTTATGAGCCTACTCCAGATTATGTAATTACCTTCCATTACCTTTTTAGTTGTGGTATTATGAAGCAATGTTGTTAACAAAATTATAGGGGTGGGAAATATTAATTTAGGGCATGAAGAAAGTTGATACATATATGATACAAAATTATTCGACCTTTTATTTTCCTATTGGAACATTTTTGTCAACAACAATTCATAATCTTCTCAAGAATCAACCGTAAATCTTGAGTGAAAAAATCCTGCTTAAACCATTAAGAATTTGAGAGTTGCCGCTGTATAGAAAATATGTTTTGCTTAATAATCCTGCATTGTAGAGCAATGCTAGTATAGGAAGGCATATAATAAAGATTTTGTCTAATTCTTGTGTGTTTGTGATACTCTAAGCCTGCGCTAGATTTTATCTAATTCTTCTATGAATATTGGGTTATAATTTCATGAGTAAGCGTCTGAGGGATATGGGGATTTGTAAATATTGAGCAAGTTTAGTTAAGATTTGAATCAAGCAAGAGCTAGACGTCATACTGGCTCCACCCCTCCCATATTGTTATCATAGAAAAAGATGGGAGCTCAGGGAATTTAATTTCAGGGAAGTTCGTATGAAGAACACTACTGCATTAGCTATTCACAGGACACAAGCATGCTAGAAATATCATTACTGAATGTCCTGTGGACTTATCACCTGATTATAGCTCACATCAGATGGTGGTTTCCAGTGGGAGAACTGAAATAAATTATTATTATTATTTTCAGTTATTTATTAGAATTTTTTATCAATGCGAAATGGATTTTACCAGCTTTCCATGCATATCATTGTACTGTTCCCAACTTTTGCTTAAAATCTTCCCTAACCTTTACTTTCATAGTCTTTAAGCCTTGAATCCTGTTTGACTTGCCACTTTATAACTCATCTTCATATTACTTTTTGACATTTCAGAGGACACGCAAAAATTTTATTCATCAATTAGAATATAGAGTCGAATACTTCTATCTACAAAGTAATTTTACCCCTTGGTCTGTCTGATTTCTACAAGGTGTACGGTATCGTGAACAAGTAATAAAGTGGAGTAAAATATTGTCTCACGAGGACTACGTACTTAAACTAGATTCAATTAATCCTAACGTTAATCAAATAGCTAATTGTGTTTGAATGATTTTATACTAAATTATCTAATTAAACTAATTATTCTAGTGAGCAGTTTATCAAACGTTTGTAAATATAGATTAGATGATACTAGATTTCGAATCCCCCGCATTAATTTGTTTTAATACAATTCAATAACAAGACAATATGAGCATATTTTTGTTGATTTATGTTCCCAAGTTAATTAAAAGCATCTCTTGATATCAATTAAATCTATCATCTCATGTGATCTTCCTATATCTCTATGAAATGTGCGAACATGAAAGCATGCTTTAAAAATATTAGAACATCTATAGAAATCATGCAAAATATAGCAGTATATCTCTATTCCATATTGGATTTTACAATGATTTTTATAATGTGCTTCCTATCCTATTATTTCTCTCGAAATCAATAAAATTCATAAACAATTCATTTAGTGATCAAGTAATTGACAAGTCATTAAAACCTATAACAATCATCCAAGAATAAACACATATTGTGCTTCAAATTATTGAATTTATATGAAAACATCGTAACAAAGGTTCATCTACATCTTATTAATTGAAAATCTGGCCTAATATTAGAAAATTACAAGAAAACATGTTTAATTGGAAGAACAGAACTTGGATTTTAGATTGATAAAGGAGAAGAAAATAGGTCTCGAAATCTTGAATCTCTTCAATGGTTTCTTGATGAATCTTTAATATATTTTCTGGTTGTCACTCCAAAAATAATGGTTGAAACTCCAATTTCTTGAAAATTGTAATTGCTCTTTAATTCTCACAAGAACAATGGATTGGCCTCTCTTTCATGATGTTAATTGATGAATTTATGTGTATGAGACATGCATGAGAGGTATCTCTAATATGTATTCTATTGTTAAGTATTTATAGGAGTTGAAATTTGGTTGAAAATCATACCCAATTTGGTTTCCAAAAGAATTACAATCGAATAAGGGAAGTTGCCTTCGCGCATGTATGTTTTTCTCTTCACAGCATTTAATATTTTTGTCATAACATTCTCTTTTGATATCTCATTGAGGCGATTCAAAGTGTAGTGAAAATCTAATTCAAAGGGCTACAACTTTTCTAGAAATAGAATTTTTCTAATTCGAATGTTTAATATGTCAAAAATTGGTCTCAATCTTCGACTAAGTCTGGAATATAATTTGTGTGATTGAAAATTGATTTGTGATACTACTTTGATCATATTTTATTTTTTTGACTTCTATCCAGCTTGAGCGGCCCACGCGTTAGTTCTGTTGAGGCTCGGGCCAAACCTCATCTTCAACTGTTGGCCCAAGATGAGCTGGCCCGTGGCAGCTTCGCTAACATGGGTTAAAATGGCCCGTGACTTGAAAATAAAACAAAGGCAGCTATGTAGCTCAATTCTTTCAAGATTTAGGCCAAGCCGGCCCGTGGCTTGAAAGTAAAACAAAGGCAGTTACAATTGCCTTTAAATTTAAAGGTAGCTGTAGTTGCCTTTAAAATCGAAAAAAATTTAGAATTTCAGAAAAAATGAGACGAGCCGACTCTGAAAGGCCCGAGTCGAGCTCCGTTTTTCTGTCAAGTTGTGCCCAAACTGCGATCTTCGGCTCAATAGCTGGCTCATTCACACCTCCACTTCTAATTATGTCCAATTGACTCCTAGCAATCTCAAGTATTGTCTTGTGGTCCGAATAAACTATTGGATATTTGCAATTTGGTCCTCAAACTTTGGACTTCGCCCTTTTTTGCCATTTTTTGTTCCTTTCTTCTGATTTCATGTCCAATCATCGAGTTTCTCCTAATAAATGAAATATACTCAATATTGGGCTATAATTTATCAAAAGAACAACGAAATGTCAATATTTTAAAGTCCAAATAAGTGTATATAACACATCTATCACCCTTCAATTAATTCATACAAAAAATAATAAAAATAAAACAGAAAAGGGATTCTCAGTTTTTCCATATAATGTGTGATATTTACAAATAAAAATTTAGACATCAACAAACATGTTAAAAGATTTATAGGTGCTAACCTACAATGTTCTCCTAAGATTTGAGAAAGATTTACATGTGCATACATTTATGGTCCCGTTTTCAATTTAAACTCCAGTCTTGCAAAAGCTCATTGTGATGCGGACATCTGCCAAAATTATTTTACTTATTGTTTTATTTATTGATGTCTTTTTATTTCATTGGGCTTGTCTAGTGGGTCTAGCCCAAGCCTGTGAATACTAGGTTTTTTTTGTTATTTATATGTTGGTAACTGGAATTGCAAGACACTTTTGATGAATATGAATTATTGAGATTGGTTGTGGCGTCTCATTCTTCTCCCTTCCCCTTCCCCTTAAACTTCTGCTTCTTGTCTGGTTTCTTCCTCCCATTCTCTCAGGTTTCTCCCTCCCTTTTTGCTTCTTCTTTCTATTCTTTAATTCGTCATGCATCAAACTTGGTATCAGAGCTAAACTTGGGTAATATTTCCTCATCCAATCTATACATACAACCAGTATATCCATCACCTGCTGCTGCAACTCCCTTTTCCAGTTGACCAGTGTTGTTAAAGAAACCACCACATCCTCCCATAACCGCCAACTGCCCGAAATTTACTCAACACGTGGAACTTCCTCCACCAATTACGACCCCCACCAAATAATTCCAACAAACACGACCACCTCACAAGCCAAACCTCCCACTTCAACATAGGCTATAGCATAACCGCCTGCAACTTTTAATTAACCGACCTTTTTTTCCACAATAACAGCCCACTATCAATGGACCCATAAACCACAAAACCAGACACCACCGCCTTCACCTCTCCAACCGACATACAGTACATCGATAACCTGTACTTCCCAAACCACACCAATCGACAGCCGCTGCTCACGTCTTCAGCCAATCACTGCCCACATATAAATCGCTACACTCAAGTAACCGCAATCCGTCTCCAAGCACTTGCCACCACATAATAGCGATGCCACCATAGTTTCTCCTCTAATACTCAAAGGCACAGATGCTTCGACCTTCAAACTCGCCACCACAAAAGCAATCAAATTGTTGATTGGATCCTTTTCTTGACCTTAATCCCCTTTGGGTCTTTGCTTTTACTTTGTTATTTTGGGCCTTAATTAATGCCTAATTGGTCTCAGTTTTATGCCCTTATGTATGTTATTTTAAGGGTTTTTATTTGATAATTAAGGGAAAAAAAAGAGAGAAAAAAAAGGACAGAAAAGGGAAGGAAAAAAAAGGGGAGAGAGAAAAAAGACAGAAAAGAGAAAGGGAAAAAAAAAAGGAGAGAAAAAAAAAGAAATTTCCATCATTATTTATAGGTGATCTTTTAATTATGTTGATTGACAGCTTTGCGACCATAGCCTATGCCAATTTGAAAATTGTGATTGGAGCATTGTTTGACTCTTGCAAGTCCCTTGAGGTAACAATTTTATTATATATATGCTTTTATTTTAGTGTTTTAGCTTGTCAATAAAAAAAATGCTTTGGCGTGAATATTAAACATTAGGAGTCCACTTGTTGACAAATGGACGAAAATTTCTTCAATTTTCATTGCCTTCTAACAAACTCCTATCGTTACTTGAGCACACATATCTCACGAGCACATCATCAATTTGTATGCTACGGTTAGGATACTAGATACCATGGCTAATGCGAAATATTGCCTTATAATGTTGGACCTAAATTGTGAACGTACTATAATTGACATGTTCCAACACTTTCTTGTAGTTCTAAAAGGAAATCATTTAGGGAATGTCTTCACTTCCATTGACTATCATGACCTTTACATTAGAAGAAAGTGACAATCTAGGAAGCACCGACACACTGTCGGCGTAGACGTATCGGTGTCCGATACGTGTCAGACACCGGCATGTCTCCGACACGTCGTGGACGCGTGCCGGAGGTCCTTACCGCGTGTCAGTTATGAAGAAATGCAAATGGCTAGAAGAAAAACAGTAAGCAAAACAGAAGGGAGGAAGAAATGAGAAGAGGTGTGTGCCGGCTGCTATGCTGATGAAGAAGAAATGCATGGATGGCTGGAAGAAAGGAACGCCCGAGGTGAGGAGGAAGAAGCAATGAAGAGAAAACATGTGAGAAAGAAATGAAGCGACGGAGAAAAGAAAGAAACATTAAATGCTCTGTCAAACAATATCTGTTTGGTTTGCATAAATCTATTTTTTATTTTTATTTTTTGAGGAATTAATATAAAATGCCTGCAGAATTCTTACATGCCAAGAAGGTTGATTGAATCATCAACAATCCACTAAAATATATATGTCCAATTTTGTCCTCTCCATGGCGAATAAATTTGACAAAATTATCCTTCGTGTAATTCACCTTGACATTTTTTCAAAAGTAATATAAAGGGTAAAAAGGAAATAATAAAATGAGCCTATGCCATAGGGTTTGAAAAGTTACCGTGTTCTGGCAAAAAAAAGGGGGAAAATAGTGTACTTTTGGGTCCACTATTTTGAAAATGAGAATGAGATTTTTTACAATGGCACTTTTTACCATTTAACAAAGTAAAAGATAGATTTTACACGGATGAAGTTTTCTACAATTTAATTTACTATTTTACATCATGCAATAAGTATTAAAAAAAATTACTACGTTAAACTATTAAATTAAAATTTTTTATAAAAAATAATATTTTAATCAACGTGTCGACAACGTATCGTGTCGGAACTTTTTCAAAAAATTACGTGTGAACGTGTCGGACACGTATCGTGTTGGACACTCGTATCCGTGTCGGTGCTTCTTAGGTGACAATATTTCTCTAGATTTGATTACCTATCTTTTGAGTAGTGTTCAAAATAAACACAAAGATTTTTCTCCTATTGTACTTAGCGTGCTGGAAAGACTTTTTGAAAAGTGCGCTAACACAATCAAACCTTACTTATCAGAAGCTATAAAAACATTCGGGATTTTTTTAGATGATTATAGTGCAATTCTTTCCTCCATTTTCAAAGAAGTCGAAAGTTGTGAACAATGTATCGTGTCCTCTATTTTGACCACACCTATAGCCGAAACTCTTAACATTGACATAATTGAGAAAGTACCTAAAATAATGTCATCCAAGTCAAATATTTCAAATGTCCTAGATTTTGTGCCTACTATGTTGCATGACTTTAATGTTGAATTTGTTTTAGTTCTTCCTCAATTACATGAGACTCCACGGGTTGTCACATTGTTTTCTAAGGTCATTACTTGATTGCACACTCTTCCTATTGACATTAGGATGTTGCCCACTAATTATCGACACTCAGTGCTAGCTCATCATTATGTTGGTAATTTTCCTAAATTTCATGCCAAGCTAAAAGGTCAAATCATTTTCAATCATGAAATTTTTGAATTTACTTTCGATCTACAATATAAATTAGAACGCTCTACTGAGGAATATTATACTTTATTAAGAGTCTCTTTGACCCACTTTCCCAAAAATGTGAAGAAAAGCTTTTTGGACCACTCGTATAAAGGTTTTCCTAATCAGGGCTCATTTGAGCCTTCGATGTTGCAATCTTTTATCTCTACAGGCCAGCCTTCGGTGCTAATTTCTCATGCTCCTCATTATGTACAATCACGTGAAGATTTTGGAGTTGAGTTGCATGAGCGTTTACTATTTGGAGATCAATATCGGTATTTGATTAAAAAGAGAGATCATCCTCCTTGGGTGGATCATAGCTTTGAGGATAAGCTACAGCTTTGATTGTTATTAACTGTTGAATTTCGATATTTGGGTCATCAAAAAGATCGTCCCTCGTGGTATTTCAACCACTCGATAGGATCTAGTTTTTCTCCCATCTCGGAAGAGTTGATGCGGACATCGGTCCAAATTAATTTACTTATTGTTTTATTTATTGATGTCTTTTTATTTCATTGGGCTTGTCTAGTGGGTCTAGCCCAAGCTCGTGAATACTAGGTTTCTTTTGTTATTTATATGTTGGTAACTGGAATTGCAAGATAGTTCTGATGAATATGAATTATTGAGATTGGTTGTGGCGTTTCCTTCTTCTCCCTTTCCCTTTTCTTCTCCGGTTTCCTCCTCCCATTCTCTCCGGCTTCTCCTTCCCTTCTTGCTTCTACTTTCTATTTTTTAATTCGTCTTGCATCACATTGACTTTTACATCGTCAAAATACAAGTATGACAGCATTGTCTATATTCGATGAGTGTTTTTAGTGGGGTTATTTGATGAATAAATCCGAACTCTTCTTGTCCTGTGATATTTATGCAACTGTTTTTCAAGAAGTAAGTGGTGCCTCTTGACCTCTTCTATTCTGCCATCACCCTTGCTAGATATACAGGATTTGGTGAGAAGAAACATTCAATGTCAGAATTAAAGTAGAAATTGAAATTAGAAAGGAAACTAAATCCCCATCTGAATGCAGAAATGACAAGTCTAAATTCTGTTTATCAATGATCTGAACAAAATCGCATGTACAAAATTGGAAAATTGCTAGTTAAAGGAAATTCTATAATTTATCGATGAACTACTATATTATAGAACTTAAGATTATTTCAAAATCGTGTAATAGATCTCAAACCTCCTTTTTCCAGTTTATGTGTAGACATGCAGGTTGGCCCCATTGATTTTAACTACATCTTAATTTATTATTTATGCAGGGGCACTGTTGTTTTTTGCTTTGCTGGCCGTATCTGGTTGCTTCATAATGTGTAATAACGAAAACGTGTTCAACAATCTAGATCAACAATGTCAAGAATCTTGCCTGTGTTGTTGTGACCATGGGTATAGTGTCTCTTTTATGACTCATGATATCTCTGGTATCGTATTGGAAATACTCTTCCCCACGAAATATAGCCCCTATTTGGTGGGGTTAAAATTATATTTTTAGTGGATTTTGATAAGAGTTGATGAAATGTGTAGTTGAAGAATTTAATAGTACCAAACAAGGGCATAATAATATTGTTGCCATTGCATTGTACAGTCAGTTGTTCCCACGGTATTGATTTTGTCTCATCCTTGCAGTATCTGGAGAGTTCATTTACATCTCCTTTTCTAACTGCAAAGTAAAATGTTTCCTTTTTTGGTCAATGTTTCGATGAAATCGAACCACCTCCTACCATATTAACTATTTATCTCTCATTAATGGATGAATCTTTGAACGTCAAGCGTGACAAATGCTATTTTTTTTCACCGTCGGAAAAACTGACATAATGACTGTTGATTTAAGCATTTTGACCTAGATTTTGCTGAGCTAGAAAGGCTAAATAGGGTATTGAGATGTTTTTACCCATGTGAGGTGCGACTTACGCCTCAAACTAATGAAACAGGTGACCATACATTTAAGAATTTTGTTACTCTAACTTTAGAAGCATACAAAATCAATATTAAATATAAAGAAGAAAAAACACGGAGGTACAATGAGAAAAATGTAAAAGAAAATAAAAAGAGAGTGAAGTTGCATCTTATGAAGTTTTCTTTTTGAGAATCTTTATCTTCTCGTTTCCTAGGCATATTCAAAACTGCATGCATACTCCATTAGGAATAATATGTAAATTAATTTTTGACTACTTTTCTGGTAGTCAAGACATAATTTTTTCCTGATTCTGTTCATACGGCTTTCCGTTTTTATATCATGAGTCTTGATGTTTCGAGTATGACAGATTCAGCTTCGGTCATTTGTTGTGCGATGATTGCCGTGTGTGCGACGCCCCACATTTTTCGTATGATTGTGCCAGATGCATAGATGGTTGTGCTGGTACAAATGGGGAATGTTGTTGCCTGCAACGTGATGGTGAATCTGGGTTGCCTTGTTTAATTGTAACAGCTTTCGTTATGCTGCTACTGTTTGCTGTATTTGGTATATTCTTCAGCGTGTTGGTGGCCACAATGGTTGGACAAAGGATTTGGCAACGGCATCACCACATACTTACAAAAAGAATGCTAACAAAAGTGAGTCAGTATTACATTCTGTTTTCACTTGTATTCTAACATTTTCCATCTTCTTAATATAACAATTTAGTGAAATCTGCAAATTTGTTCTAGATTTGGTGCTTTCATGTTGCGGTATAAAAGTTTTATATACTTCTATGAGGAAGTAGGTTGTATAACACTCAATATTTTGACCATTTTTATCTTTAGTTTTTCCTGTTCTTTATAACGACGTGCATCTTCTTAAATCCAAAATATCAAAGCAATGTAGTCGATAACACTTTTCTTGTAATTTTACCATCTGCTATCCCTGCTGTTCGTACGTAGACTGGCAGGCTATTTTTCTCCATTTATCATGTAAATTGTAGAAGTTTGAACTAATACACACAGTGAAACAAGGTCACATACATTATAAAAATATGAACTCTGGTTGACCTAAAGAATTAGATATTTGTTTCATTGTTAGGATTGAAAATCTTTGGTCGTAAGTTTCAGAATGCTTCATTATGTTTGCTTTAAAAATTCGTTCATTCGTCTTATCTACTTTGGTAGGAATATGTTGTGGAGCATGTCAATGATGCGACTAGATCTGATTGGTGTCCACCGTCTCTCCCCACCGAACATTATGAGCAGCTGAGAGCTCTTCGACTTCTATGAGATGGGAAAAACCTGAATAAATACTGATTGGTGTCCACCGTCTCTCCCCACCGAACATTATGAGCAGCTCAGAACTCGTCAACTTCTATGAGATGGGAAAACCTGAATAAATACTTTCTTTACTTCGTCGTGCTAATAGTTGATTATTGCTTAACAATCTAACAGAGATGGATCGATGACTCTTGTAGAAGTTTGACCATAGGCTCGAAGTCTATACTACTATCTTCAACTTACAGGCATATTCTTCGTCTTGGATTGACGAAGTCTTCATTGTTAGGCAGGTCATTCCAGGAATATAGAGCACACTTCAAACTCCTCACCGTGCATCAGGTTCCTATGTGTGTGAGATGCAATTTGAGGTTTAATTTCTTTTGGTTCGAGCATCATTTTGAACTTTTGAATATATGCTTTCGAATTCTCGTGGAGGTAAACAAGAATTTACTTTAATCTTTTAAAATGAAAAAGTGATACCACTCAAAATAATGTCAAAATACAGCAATTTTAACACCCCCAAGGTCTGAGTGAGAATTTGTTTCCATTATGTAGTGTGTAACCAAAGTGATTTTTTCGACTTCTGCCCTTTATGTGCAGGCTGAGAGCTGGATTGATTGTTTATTTAATTAATAATAAAGTCTTCTAGCGCTCATAGAATAAGAGCCAAACAGGTTCACTTAGAGCATATGCAAGAGACTATTTTTAAATAGCATATTTTGCAATTTAGAGAGTGAAAGTGTTTAAATACTCCGATCGCCTCTTTAAGTATTCCACAGGTTCCCAGAACATCTCGAGTTGTAACAATATAAAACTTGTATCTTTGGACTATGAAACAGTTAATGGTGATGATTTTGAAAATGTTAAAAAGGTTAAACTTGAGGAAAAGATGCACATACAAGGTGAAAATGGTACTAAGGGGCGTGTTGGTGGAAATGCGTGAAAAACTGATGTTTGGAGGTCAAAAGCATAATTAAAAATGTGGAAAATGCTAAAAAGGAGGAGAGCATGAAGTGAAGATCCGTGGCGAAGAATTGTAAGAAATTGATGCTAGAGAGTTAAAAAAAATTGACATTGAGGCGGCACTTATTGTGAAGAGTGGATCTAATTGTATTAGTGTCTATAATTGATTTTTTTTTTGTAATACTATAATAGACGAAGAGGAATTAAAAGGGGAAGGTGAGGGAGATGAGTAATACTTTTGATCCTAATTTAGGGGCAGATGTGATGCGTGCTTTTTAGACGTCGGCTATAACAACTTTGGTACGATTCAAAGTAGGCTAGAACACAACCTCTTAAGTAGACCCATATGAAAATTTGGAAAAACCCGGATGTACATAACAATTTTTCACAGAAAGATTACATATACACAAAATGGTGGACCCCATGTGTAATAAAATATTGTAAAAAATAACCCAACCACTGCTGCATGTGTGTGTTTTGTACCAATTTTGTAGCCATCATTTCTGTAAGTGAAGCTTTACTCTGAAAATTTCTTGGTTTTAGGAAGATATTTTACAATTTTTCCATATGTTGTGGATTTTGTCTCTTGTAACCATGACCACCTATATGGTGTAGGAAAATTCTACCACTTCGATTGTTCGTTATCTATCCACTAGTTAATGGAAAGGATCAATTTGAGCAAGTTTCTAGTTCAAAAGTAAAACCTGTTGGAATTGATCAAACATTTTTGATGCAAAGTGTATCACGTGAGAATCAACTGTTCATAGGATTCTTTGTTAGAAAGAGAAATCACAAAAAAGGGAATGTTGCTAACATTTTGGAAGGATTAAGAAGCACTGAAGTAATNGTTTGCGACTGGACGAACAATCTCGTTTTTGCACAAAGTGCTTGCACTTTCAGCAAGAGCCGGGGCCATTCTGATTATCTTCCAGTAAATGGAAGAAGATGGAGAATAAGAAATGGTTATGTGATTAGCAGAAGAAAAATTGGTGTTGAAACTACAGAAAATATAGCTCTAGTTGATGATGCTGATCATATACCAAAGTACCTGTATTTATAGTAAAGATGAACGGGTGGTGACTATGACTGTATTGAATGGCAAGATTTCTTAGGCAGGTGGTCATATTTGACTACTACGGAATAGTATGGATAGGCGTCTGAATATTCTATCATTCTCTATTTCACTAATTGCATAGAAAGGAATTTTAGATTGTTATGTGGGGCCTGCAAACCAACCTTCATTGAATGGAATTTTCTATCTGCAAACCAACCTTCTTTGAATGTAATTTTCTATCATATTTGGGCTGCCGCAAGAATTTTAATATAGCAATGGCGTACAGTACTGGAATCAAAACAGCTGTTTGGCCAAGGCCTCGTGCGCTTTTTCGTGCATAACAGTAAATGACACATTCAATGTACATTCTTTCGTCGTGCTAATAGTTTATTATTGCTTAACCATCTAACAGAGATGGATCAATGGCTCTGTATAATGCGGCATTTGACCATAGGCTTGAAGTATATGCTACTATCTTCAACTTACAGACATACTAGTCTTGGATGATGGGCGGAACCACATGGGGTCATGTGGGGTCATTTGACCCCCACAAAATTTTTCGTTATCCGTTTTTTTTCCCAAAAATGGTGTTTTGACTATTTTACGACCTCCTTTGACGTACTTATTACGAGACGTTAAATAAAGTTGAAATATTTCATTTTTAGTACCATTTCGAAGTATTCGTGGCCTAGTTTTTTGCTCGTTGATGGCATGCGAAATGACCAACCGTAACAAAAGTTACAACGCATTAAAGTAGGTCGTTCCAAACTAATATTTCAAGAATTTCGATAACATTCTAACTTTCAAAATTTGTCAATGATCATATATTATTCGAATCCACAAATGACCTACATTATTTAGCCCTTGTTTGGGCCCCATTTTAGGGAAGAGAATGAATTTTCGAATAATGTATTGATGTGAAATGTATGATTAAAAAATAAGAAAAAATTTTGAATTTACGTTTAATATTATTTTATTGAAGAATATGTGATTGAAATAATGTTTAAGTATTGTGAGAAAATCATTTTTCAAAAGAATGGGTCTCAAACAAGGGCTTAGAAGCTCGTTTCGAGAGCTACGTTGTAGTCATATTGAATGGTCTAAATGGATATCGAAAATAATTAAATGTGTCAAACGTATGCCTTAAAAAAGGCGTCTAACTAGTCTTTTCTTTAAAAAAGTTTAATTATTTCATTTACATTTATTATTTTTGCATGATAAATTTTTCAATATAATTTATATCATTTTATTAAAAAAATTTAAATGGCATATGATCTCAAAAATTTTAGGATCGTTACGAATTAAATTAATTTGAATTACTTGCAAAATACTTCTGCATTAAATTTAAATTTCATTTTTTCCTAGATTAAAAATGAATTTTATTTCAATAATATGCTAACTTCCAAAATTCGCTGATAATCATATATTATTCGAATCCACAAATGACTTGCATTATTTAGAAGCTTGTTTCAAGAGCTATGTTGTAGTCATATTGAATGGTCCAAATGGATATCGAATACAATTAAATAGGTGTCAAACTATGCCTTAAAAAAGACGTCTAACTCGTCTCTTCTTTAAAGAATTTCAAATTGTTATTTTGTTGCAAACTTCAAATGCATGTTTGGAGTTCCTATAAACCTATTAGATAGGACTTGTCTAGTTGAAAATTAAAACTATGAAAAATATTTTAATTTTTACATTTCGAAAACTTAAAAGTTGTATAATTGATCTCAAGTGTCTCGAGTTCCAGAAGTGCATGATAAGTGCTGTCAAAGCCCAATATTGTAGAGGAAATTAAATGAAGTATTCCAGATACAAAGTAGGAAAATTGTATAATTGACTAATGGTAGGAATTATTAAGTAAATGTAATATTTTATAATTTTAGATGTTTGATATGTATTATTTTAATTATCAAATGATTTTTAAAATAATTAAAAATTTAAAATAATATTAAAAATAAGAAAACACATTTTTATGCCTAAGTGTCGTCTAGGCTTGCTCAAGATCGTGCAGCAAAGAAAATTTTTGGTATGAAAATCTTGAGGAAAATAAAGGTTGACATTGTATTTGAGTCAGAAGGGATACATTGAGAATGTGCTTCAAAATTTCAATATGCCAAACCTAAGACTATCAGTACTTCCTTGGCTGCCCACTTCAAATTGTCATCTGGATTGTGTCCTCACTTAGATGAAAACATTGATTATATGTCTCAAGTTCCTTATTCCTGTGCAGTAGGTTTTCTTATGTATACTATGGTCTGTACAAGACCATATTTGACATATACAATCAGTGCAGTTAGTAGGTACATGACAAATCCTAACAAGAAACATTAGAAAGCAGTGTAATGGATATTCAAATACTTGAACTGCTCAACTAATACTTGCTTGTATTTTGGTCGAAATACAATTGGAGTCACTAGGTATGCAGATTTTGATTATGCAGGGGACCTTGATAAAAGGAGATCACTTACAGGGTATGTGTTTACCCTTGAAGGCTATGCTATCAGCTAAAAAGTTACATTGCAAAATACAATAGCTTTCTCTACAACAAAGGTAGAATACATGGCCATTATAGAAGTATGTAAGGAGGCTATGTGTTTAAGGAGTTTGATTGGTGAAATCATGAAGACTTGCAACTTTCTACAGTATATTGTAATAGTCAGGTGCTATTGTTCTGACTAAGGTGCAAATGTTCCATCAGGTGACTAAGCACATTGATGTGAGATATCATTTTGTGCGTAAAGTGATTGCTTGTGGTGATATTGTAGTAAGTGAGGTTGATACCGAGGATAATCTGCTGATATAATGACAAAATCACTTCCCATTGCTAAGTTCGAACATTGCTTGAATTTAATTGGTGTTTGTCATTGATTTAGTCCATTGAGACTTGTTTGGAAGAGGAAGAGTGATGTTCACTTTGGAGTTTTTTTTTTAAAATTCCTAGTCTTGAAATTTGGTTCAAGGTAGAGATTTGTTGTAATGTGAACTAAATTCTCGTGGATATTAGAGTCCTAATTAAAGTGGTCTTGAAGAAATCAAAATTATGGACCAAGAAGAAAAGTCACTGAATTTTCTCTAGCTGGCTATTCGAACGACACCAATATATTTTGAAAGATACTTTCCGCCCGCCCATCACCCGAGCGACACGATTATTTGACCCAACCCATTTTCGCCTTTTGGACTCCTATTTATCTTCAACTTGGTTTCTAGGTTTATATATTTGTAAGCGACAACTTATATTGTTCCCATAATATTCATACAATATCTTGAGAGCTTTAGATTTTAGTGAAGAGTATTGAGATCTTATTGTATATACAATTACTATTGATTATAGTAGACTTCTCTTCTTCTGCCCGTGGTGTTCTTTATTCTGTTTTTTTTTTATTTCATTATTG